TATATATATATATTACGTTGTTTATATTCACAGTGATACGCAACAACTCTGATTTACTATTTTGCACTATAATTTCAATAGCCCAAATTTTTAGGGGTGTATATCAGTTTTTTTATTACATCAAAAATGTAGTATATACCAATGATATTACTAAAACACACTTCGGTCTTCACCGGGGCTCGAATCCTGAACATGTTTGATAACACGATAAATTCCTTAACAACAAACCGTCATATTATTTTGAATTAAATTATTATTATAATTATCACTGTTATCCCAAACAAATGAGTTTTTCATGTACTTTTAGGGATGGAAGAAGTTCCAGACGTATCGAACTTTTACACAACATTGACCCCCTGACAGTATTGACTGAGGGAGGGGAGAGTTGGAGTGACAGCCCATTTGATGTTAGGATCAAAGCTGCCATCCGTCTTGGAAACTGGAAACTACTTACAGGAGATAACGGTAAGAAGAAAAATAATAAATCATAATAAATCACACAACATAAATGAAAACGAGACTTACTATGTCTGTTTGTATATATGTATATATACATATATGTATGTAACAGAATATACGGCTGTTTTCATTGCTATAATGATAAATGAAGTTGATATTGCAATTAAAGGAAAAATCGTTAAAAAGTATTAAGTTAAAAAAAGACGGAAAACCAAATACTTACAATACTAAAAAAAATTATGAAGTTAAAAAAAAATGAAAAACAAGTTCACAACTATCGCGACGTTTTTACTTAATTCATTTATTCAACGTTCATTTATGAGGGTGGCTTTTACAGAGAGGCTGACTCAAAGAGGCCCTCATAGCAAATACAAAACATATACAGTAACAATAAAATACAGAAAGCACAGTGATAAAATAGATTTTAGAAAAACAAATAAAAACAATTGCAAACAATTACAATAATATATAAAAGTTATTCTCAAAAATTTATCTTGAAAATTTTAATTTCTATAAAATCAGCCTTTAACTAGATTTGAGCTCTTTTTTTAGTTTACTATAGAGTAAAAGTATTGCTGTTCCGCATAGCATTAGGAAGTGAATTAAGATAGGAGGGACCTTTATAGCTAAACTACTTTTAAACATTTCAGTTCTCGGCTTGGACAAATTAATATGACAAGCAGTAAATGCTCTAGTAGATATGCTTCTGGTTTCGACTTTGGTGAATAGTTTGCAGAGGTAGTCTGGACCGACACCAGCAGCAGACTTGTATGCTAGGCAGCCAAGCTGTAGATTGATTCTTTGTGAGACGTTGTGAACATTAAGTGTTGTGAAAATGGTGGCTGTTGGTGTAAATGGGGGTGGGCTTTCAATACAATACGAATTGCTTTATTTTGAAGAGCTTGAATTTTGTTAGGATTATTTATGGATCTCGCTCCCCAAACGCTACAACAGTAATCAATATGGGGAAGAGAAATGGTGTTATAAATGAGAAGTGCTGTGTGGGTGTCAGTGAATCTCCGCACTCGTGCCAGGAGGGTTGTAGAGACCGAGTTTTGAACGGTCATCAATTATTAAACCAAACTGCTTCTGTGTATGTACTGGTTTGAGTTGAGTGCTATTAATATATGTACTAAGTGTTTGTGACGTAATTTCTGGGTGTAGTGCCTACCAATAAGCATAGATTCGGTTTGGTTGGTGTCGATGAGAAGTTTGTTTGCAGTTAGCCATTTGGTGAGATTTTTAAGATCATCATTTAACTTACTTTCAATGGTAGAGATGGAAATATCCGAGACGTAAATAATTGTATCGTCTGCGTACATATCAATAGAAGAGGGAACGAGTGACAAAGGAAGATCATTAATGAAAATTGTAAAAAGAAGAGGCCCAATTATATTAATTTAATTCTACATTATTGTACTTCAGACACAATATAAACAAATATAAAAATTGTTATTATTTCTATTATTTATTTAATTTTGATTGTAGGTGAAGCTGGCTGGTTCGCACCACCAGGTGTTGCTGGATTGGATACTGAAGAAGGTGACGTAGGTGACATTGTTCGATTGTACAACGTCAAACGCGACCCCGAAGAACGAAACAATCTTGCTAGCAAATACAGGATCCTTGTAAAATGCTTGTTGAGAAAACTTGCACGCTACTACGAAGAGTCAGTTGAACCAATTTACACTCCTCATTTTCCTGAAGAAGCTGACCCTTGTAAAAACGGGAATAATTGTGTGTGGGGTCCATGGGCTACTGAGGAATAAAATAGTAATAATATATTTTATAGAGTTAATAACAGTAGTTGTTCAGTTTAATGCTATATACTCGCATTCAGTTACTAAAAAATGTTCAATATAAATGAAAAGAAATACATGAAAAGATTCAAAATTTACAATGAAGAGAAAGTTGCTGCTGATGGGAAGAGGTCAACAGGGGTACACTATATTTCATTAAATAATGTTTTTCCTTTATTTGTTGTATACTAACATACCGCATATTAAACGTCTATATAAGCTGCAACTACAACAGATAAATGTTCTTAGAGAAGTAGTATATATATAATGACGATAAAAACCCGTGTACGGTGCCAGTGAATGTGATTAATGATAGCTTAGAAAGGAACCACCCCAAACCTGTCCGACGAATTACCCAAATGATAGGAAATTACCCATTATTATGATACCCAAATGATACGGAATATACCCAAATGGTACGCAATTACCCAAATGATATCCAAATGGTACGCAATTACCCAAATGATACGGAATTACTAAAATTATACCTTAATGATGGGGAATTACCCTAATGATACGGAATTACACAAATGATAGGGAATTTAACTAAATCATAGCCCAAATGACTCTGTTAATTCGTTTATATTTAACTAAAAATTAAATATGATGTTAGTAGCCCCAGGCTTATAGCAAATAAATAGAATTTATTATAATAATTTCTAACATAGGAATAGGCCTTTATAGACTGATATAATAGGCATAAAGCATCATAATTTATTTATTTTTTATTTATTTGTTTATTCAAGACCCAACAGTGTGTCAAAACACAAAAACCAGCGTCGCCATAAAAATACAATTTGATATTTATTATCATTATTATATTATTTATTCATCTATTTTTTTTATTGCTACTATTATTATTGTTATTATTTTATTATTATTATCCGTATTAATAATCGGCATATTAAATACTGTTTATTTTAATTAATAGTAGAATCTTAAGATACCTTTATAGAATACGGTAATGTATATTGTATGAATATAAAACAAGATAATATACACAAATATTACGGATTTATTTAGGGGCATTCAAAGTGGCTATACATTCAATTTTTTTTAATTTTTTTTTTATGAATTTAGCACTTTGAAATTAAGCAGGTGTACTACTGTTATTTCTGGTGAACGTTTTTTTGGCGGAATGTTTACCGTATTTCAGATTGGCAAACTAATATGTTTTTCTGAAAGATAAGACAATCTTGCAAGAAATGACATGATAACAAACTATTTATTTCACACCGGAAACACCCAACCACTTATTCTTGAATATATCAATATCGTATGGGGTGTCATTGTGCGAAAAAAAAGATGAAATGGAGTTGACATTGAAATGGGTGATTCTGATTGGTCTATATTTCAACAAAGTGTGATACTGTGGAGTGTAATAAATTTAAAACTTGAATTTGAACATTCCACTTTTAATAATAATAATAATTAATTGTCACCTTACCGGGGTTTTTGGCACGAGTTACAATTGCATTATTGGAATTATAGTAGAATGAGTTACAATTGAATTATTACTAATTTATAACAATATGTACAATAAAAAATACAATTCATTTATGATATGAAATAAAGAAGTGTAATTAAAACAACAGACGTTTTACATGTTCCCGATATTGTTTCATGATTCGATTTTTTTTTAAATACTGAGCTTTCTATTAGATAAAAAAAAATGTACATCTACATGAATGAAAAAATTATGCCTGATAAAATTCAAAGGCCGTTAGAAACAGATGAAACGAATAAATGATAAAATACACGTATTACAATAATAAAAAATATCATTGTCAGTTATTATCAGAAAACAACATATTAATACATATAGGAATATCAAAAATATAGTATTATAATTATTATTGTGCTATTAAGTGATACAATTATAAAAAAAAAAGCATAACAAATATTTTTGACAAATACTGTATGTTAAAAATACGAAAGATTTCACATATAACAGAATTTACATCGACGTACATAAGAATACATATTTCGGATAGTGCCTTCCCACATTATTAATTTCAATTCTCTTAGCCATCCTTGTACTGCAAACATACTTCCATAATAATTGAATGAAAATAAAAATATATATAAAATAACGAAGCCTTTAGATCCGTCTGTGGATCCCGTCGGCGCTCGCTGCCGATCCCACCGTTGGTAATCCATTCAATTTTTTCGGCAGTTGTATAGCGCCATCTGCCTCGAAACTTTATAGAAAGACTCGAGGTTTTTGTTCAAAATAAACACATAGATTACACAGTAATAAATAAAGGGGTTATAATCGTTAAAGCATCGTGTCGTACGATTTACGGAACACAGATTATTCAACTCTCTTCCATGGGGCATTCATTAGCAATTATTAACAGAATAAATCATATTTTTGTTATTATTAATTTCAAATGATTAAACAAGTTATAAAAACCATTACAAACAATTTTGACAAATAAATAGTGTATGTTAAAAATACGAAAGGTTTCAAAGTTAATTAGACATATTTGGGTAATTGCGTATCATTTCGGTAACGTTTGGATAATTCGTCGGACCAATTAAAGTCTATTTTTTCAACACATTACAGTAGTGTGTTTTGGATAATTACGGTATAGCCTATGCATGCATGTATATCAATCGGTGGGTAAAATCCTGGAAATGCTCGCTGATCTCACCAAAAACCAATGATTCTATGCTTAGTGAACTGTTGCTATGCTAATGAATCTTTAGATCAGATCAGATGGGGTAAATCGTATTTTATCCCCCCATGGTTAAACCAAGGAGTTATCTCTATTTGTGACTTAAAATAATAAAATAATAGCATTTGTGAGCAATATATTTTTATTATAATGTAAGTCGTATGGTTGTAGGGTATTGTTTAACGTGAATTATGAGTCAATTTCTGCTATTGTAAATCCTTTTATAACCATTGCTTATATCGATGTTCCGCAAACTATGGTTCGCGGCCCAAATTTTTATGCCGCGAAACATTTTTGGAGGGCCGCGAAGCCGTCTGGAAATTTAAAAAAGAAATATAGACTAGGAAAAAAATCAAAAAGAGGCCTAGAAATCAAGTTAGGGGGAGTGGAATGTTAGAAGCAGTCAACATAGCCAGATATCCTAATTAATCCGTCCTGGTCACCCTAAGCCCTGTTGCCACTTGATTTTTCACCTGGTATACAAATGGCGGCCATATTTATCTAAAATGTGCATATAATTGGAACTAAATAAGCTACAGATATGATGTTGGTGTCTAAAATCATAATTTATATACAGGCAACAAACCAGACATTTAAAAACTACTGTCACTCATGCCAGAATGGAACATAATTCAAAAATAGGTGTTTATTTGTTTTAAAATATCCGCAAAATATATTTAAATTGTGTATAAAATAAGAATAAGTATATAAACTCACCAAAAAGTCGTGTTTGGTATCGTTGGAAAGCTCTTCCGATGCTGAATAATATATTGCAGTTTATATATCAGAAACGGTGTAGTGTTTCATGTACTGTCCCATAAATTCCAATTATGGCATATCATATTAAAATAAACAGGACCCATTTGCGTAACTCGTGAGCTCTCGGATGGCGGGGGGGGGGGGGGGGCCCGCGCTCCTACTACTACCTAACACATTACTACCAAGCCTTAAGTAACGCATGTGCTTTCTGGGCGAAGTCCGAGTCCAAATGGGCCCTGGAGAGGGTTACATACTTTTACTTACAGTAACACTGATACTCAGCACTCTCCTACAACGCCTTAACAATACGAACATTTTCTATAATTTTTTTCGAAAAAACCAAATAGACCAAAATCCCACAAACACAATATTTGGCAGATTTATTAGAAGGGGTTCTTTAAACTATGCCCCTGGATGCCCCACTACGGAGGTTTGACCAGTTATGTAATGCCTGTGTGCTTTCTAGGGAAACGCTTACTTCCTCCATGTCCAAATGAGTCCCTGAAAGTCGATGGGCCCCTACTTACTACTACCGAGCAATCTAATAATACAACCGCTTTTGACAAAATATTTTCTTTTAATTTTTTAAAAAATGTATGAGCCTCGGACGGCTGCATAACTACTACTAATAATTCAGATATTCGGATGATAAACGCATGCGACATCATTAATTGGACCTTAAAGGACGATCTGGTCATTTTATTCAGATTGGCCTTATCATGTTTCAGAGCAACATATTTGTTGGTATTAAAGTAACACTTTATTAAAAACAATCAACGTCTTTATATTGATATTTTCAAACCTATTAGATGACCTGAAGAAAAAGTGATCCAGAAGTCGTAGGCTTGCTTTACAATATATTATGGCGAAAGTAAATTTTTGTCCGTCTCTGAAATTTAATAGTGTTACTGTAATAGAGCCTATTATTTAATTTTGTAATGGTACCTTATAGATTTATAACCAGGTAGCAGAGCAGCTTAGCTCAGTTGCCTAAACTGGTGGTAGCCTCTGTGTGCGCTAAAACGTGGGGATATCTAGGTCTCCGATTCAAATAAAATCAAATCATTCTTTATTCATCACTCAAAATGGGTTGAATTTTACAGAAGTAAAGGGTTCAAGCAGAAAAATCTAAACAATCAACATTTAAACATTTTTCAACAAATAGACCCACATCACAATAACAGCAAAGGCAACCAATATTGAAATTATTATTATTATTATTATTATTATTGTAATTATAATTATTGTAGTGAGATTATTATAGTTGTTTTAATTACAGACTTAAAAATGAACAAAGCATTCGCCTATACAGGGAGTCCTTTCCAGCCTTTTGGAGGATAAATTCTTTAAGTTTTCTAAGATGGAAATTGAAAGGGGCTTTAGGAATGAGGTAGTGTATTGAATTCCCATCACTGTTCTTCCTTGTATTTCAGTTGGAGGGCTGAAATGCAAGTTACGATAGCGCACCGTCTTTCGGATGAGACATTTAACCTGTTGGTGCCGTGTGCATTATGGCCTGAGTGCACGTTAAAGAACGCAGTATGCTAATTGGAAATGAGTAGGAAATTGTTTCCCGATGTACAGTAGTGTAATGACTATGCGCTCCTATGCGGCGGTCCGCAGGGCCCCCGTCACCTAGGGCCCCGAAGGTGCCCCAACCCATAGGGTCCTCGCTCGGGCACCCTTACCCAAAAGGGCTTTGTTGATACATAATGTGTCTCTGCTGTCTCTTATACACATCTAGATGTGTATAAGAGACAGGGACATGATTGACTGATAGCAAGCTATATGTTAAATGATTACTGTGAACAAAAAAAAGTTTTTAGTCCAACATACACGAAATGTCATCAAATACACATTTAACAAATACTAATGTTATTTTGGCGAGTTTGCGGTATTCTGTCAGTGCTGGGGAACACTCAAGAGTTCACGCACAGTTGAATCCATCTTTTCATTTTCCCTTTCATAAATTTAAGTCTGCTGCAAATAGGAAAAAAACACAAGTGAGCATGATAAGTACATAAAAAGAAACTGACAATAACATAATAACAATCCTAACTTGCATAAAAAACAATAAACATAAATTAAGTCTATACAAAAATTTAATTTGCAGTAGTACTAG